GCGGGTGCCTGTAGTCCCAGCTACTTGGGAGGCTGAGGCAGGAGAATGGCATGAACCTGGGAGGCGGAGCTTGCAGTAAGCCGAGATCGTTCCACTGCACTCCAGCCTGGGCGACAGACAGAGTGAGACTCTGTCTCTTAAAAAAAAAAAAAAAAATCAGCCAGGCGTGGTAGTGCATGTCTATAATTTCAGCTACTTGGGAGGCTGAGGCTGGAGAATCGCTTGCACTCGGGAGGGAGAGGTTACAGTGAGCAGCGACTGTGTCACTGCACTCCAGCCTGGGTGACAGGGTGACAGAGCAATACTCCATCTCAAAAAAAAAAAAAAAAAAGACACCAAAAGTATAAGCAACAAAAGAAAAAATAGATAAATTAGAATTTATCAAAATTAAAAACCTTTGTGCATAAATGATACTATCAATCAAGTGAAAAGAAAACCCATAGAGTCTTAGTCCATTTTGTGTTACTTCAAAAGAATATCTAAGATGGGATAATTTATAAAGAAAAAAAGGTTTATTTGGCTCACAATTCTGATGTCTGGAAAAGTTCAAGATTGGGCATCTGGTGAGGGCCTTAGGCTGCTTCCACTCATGGTAGAAAGTGAAGGGAAGCCATGTACAGAGATCACATGGGGACAGAGGAAGTAAGAAGTGGATGGGAGATGCCAGGCTCTTTTTAAAAATCATTTTTAAAAATTTTATTTATTTTTTAATTTTACTTTAAGTTTTGGGATACATGTGCAGAACATGCAGGTTTGCTACATAGGTGTATTACCTGTGGCCAGGCTCTTTTTAACAATGAATATAGTGAGAACTCACCCCTGAAAGAAGGCATTAATCTATTCATGAGGAATCCACTCCTATGATACAAACACCTCCATTAGGACCCACCTCCAATGTTGGGGATTAAATTTTAATACAAGGTTTGGAAGAGACAAGAATCTAAACCACAGCACATAGAATGGGAGAAAATATGCGCAAATCATATATCTGAAAAGGTCTAAAATCCAGAATACATAAAGAACTGTTACAACTCAGTAATAAGATAAATAACAAAAGTGACCAAAAGATTTTAATAGTGAGTGGAGCAGAAATGCAGACATTTCACCAAAGAAGATATAGAAGTGATCGCTAAGCACATGAAATGATGCTCAGCATTATTATTCATTAGCAAAAGGCAAATCAAAATCACAATGCAATAGCATTTCACACCCACTAAATGGCTACAGTTAAAAAAACCAGATAATAATATATGTTTGTGAAGATGTGGAGACATTGGAACCCTGGTGGGATCATAAAATGGTATAGCTGCTTTGGAAAACAGTTTGGCAGTTCCTCAAAAAGTTAAGCATGTAGTACATGTGACACAACAGTTTCACTTCTAGTTATATACCTTTGAGAATTAAAGACATGTGCACACAAAAACTTGTACACAGATGTTCACAGCAGCATTATTTATAATAGCCAAAGTGAAAATAAACCAAATGCCTAACTGCTGAATGGATAACAAAATGTGATATATCTATACTATGGAATATTATTCAGCCATATAAAGGAATGAAGTACTGATGCATTCTACAGCATGGATGAACCTTGAAACACTAAATGAAAAAAGCCAATCATAAAAGGCCGCATATTGTATGATTACATTTATACGAGACGTCCAGAAAAGGCAGATTTATACAGGTAGTAAGTATCCATTTATCGTTACCAGAGGCTCTTGGGAGTGGAGAATGAGGAGTGACTGTTGGAGGGTATGGATTTTCTTTCCGGGTGATGAAAATGTTCTGGAATTAGATACTATCTGTAGGAAGTTGTATAGATAGGGTTGTACAACTTTGTGAATATACTAAAAGGAACTAAATCTAATGCTTAAAAAGGCAAATAAATAAAAAGTATGAATGAAGGAGAAGGTGGAGTTGAGTGTTAATAACATATGGAGCCAAATATTGTTAACCACGTGCAGCAGAATGTTGAGTCTAGTGTAAACCATAAGTAGAGAAGAATGTGGCATCAACTATTAATAGTGAGTGGAGCAGAGTGTTGAATCTAGCATAAGGAAAAGAAAGCAGAACATTATGTCTGCTGTTACAATAGCACACAGCAGAATGTGTTGTCAGGTGTTAATAGTGATCAGAGAATGTGGATTCAAGCATTTGTGGTGAATGTAGCAGAATTTGAGGTCTGGTGTGAATGCTTCAGAGAGCATATTGTCGAGTTTTGTTGTAAGGGAATAGAGGAGAGTGTGGTTCTACTGCTGATGGCAGATGAAACATAATGTTGTGTCTCACATTAAAAGTTAATGGAACAGTCAGTGTCATGAAAAACAAAAAACAGCTAGGAGACTGTTCTAGGTTAAAAGAGACAAAATAGAGCAACTGTGCAATATGAATTGGATGCTTGATTGGATCCCTCATCATATTTTCTGATGACTTTTTTGACAACTGGGAGAATTTAAATAAAGGTCCTGTATTAGATGACATTATTGAATTATTTCAAATTGAAGTATTTCTAATTCAATAATAACCATTGAATTAATGTTAATTTTTAAAGATGTGATAATGTCATTGTGATTCTCCTTCCTTATTTTGAGGTGAATTGCCATGTCTTTGTTGATTCAGCAAAAATTGCATCTACCTACCTACCTGCCCATCTATCTATCTATTTATCCATCTGTCTACCTATACTGAGAAAGTGTATGTGGGAAATGGTGACTGGTGAATCTGGGTAAAGGGTGTGAGGGTGTTTATTGTATATTCTTTCAACTTTTCTATGTCAAAACAGAATGCTAAGCAGCATTAATTGGAAATGGTGCAAAACATTGTTTCTAGCAGAAGGCTAAAGGAAGCAGAATGTGGTGTCTGGCATTAATAGTAGAGCAGAATATCATGTCTATTTTTGAGTGAGTAGAACAGAATGCGACTCAAACAATAATAGTGAATGTGGTAGAATGCAGCATGTAGCATTAAAAGAGAGTGAAGTAGAATGAATCATCAATCATTAACAGTGAAAAGCACAGAGTGCTGTACCTCAACTAGGGGTGAATGTAGGAGTATATGGTGTCTAGCATTAATAGTAAGTGAAACGGAACATTATGTTTAGCGTTAGAACTGAATTAAGTAATCCCAGCACTTTGGGAGGCTAAGGTGGGCGGATCACGAAGTCAGGAGTTCAAGACCAGCCTGGCCAACATAGTGAAACCCCATCTCTACTAAAAATACAAACATTAGCCAGGCATGGCGGCGCATGCTTGTAGTCCCAGCTACCCGGGAGGCTGAGGCGGGAGAATTGCTTGAACCCGGGAGGTGGAGGTTGCAGTGAGCTGAGATTGCGCCACTGCGCTCCAGCTTGGACAACAGAGTGAGACTTCGTCTTAAAAAAAAAAAAGTAGTGAATTAAGCAGAATGCAAGATCTAGTGTTGACAGTGAAGGGAACAGAAGGTTGTATTGATCATAAGGGTGACTGAAAGAAAAATAGTGCCTGGTGTTAGTAATGAATGAAGGGAGATGCTGTGTCTGGTGTTAGAGGTGAATGGAACAGAGTGTTGTGTCTGGCATAAGGGTGAATGGAGCAGAATGTGTATCTGACATTAATAGTGAATGGAGCAGAATGCTGTGTCTAGTGTTGATAGTGAAAGAAGCAGAATATGGTTTAGGAGTTAACACCAAATGTGGTGTTTAACACTAGAAATATAAGTATCAAATTGAAGTGTGATCAGAAAAGGGTTAACAAAACAGGCCTGAGGCTGCTATCTTAGGAAGGGCCTGCTTGCAAGGTTGCCTCTTGGATGGCATCTGAGAACTTGGATTTTGGGAATATTCCTACTTTCCCTAACTGATAAGGCTGGCTCACTGTGCCTAGATTGTACAATCTGGTTCCTGCTGAACAATCTGCTTTCCTTTTGGGAATCTGGAATTTTGGCACATGCTAGGCAGAGGGTGCTGATATGACCAGCCCCCAGTTAAAACATGGAACGCTGAGCCTCTAATGAATCTTAGAGCATAGAGCAGACTCTGTTTTTCTTTCCTTCTTTCTTTTTTTTAAGATGGAGTCTCACTCTGTTGCCCAGGCTGGAGTGCAGTGGCATGATCTTGGATCACTGCAACCTCCGCCTCTCGGATTCAAGTGATTCTTCAACCTCAGTCTCCCAAGTAGCTGGGATTACAAGCGCGGGCCACCATGTCTGGCTAACAGTTTCTGTTTTTCTGTCTTTTGGGGCAGAAACATAGCACACACATGTCTGCATTGTTGTTGCTGGAGTAAGAGTGCATTCTGTGTGACCCCTCATGGGAGGGGGAGAGTAAGGAAGCCCGCACATGGATTCCTCTAGTCCCTGCCTATGTTCTTTCCCCCTGATGAGTTAGCCATATCTTCTGAATATGTTGCTGTAATAAATATTAGCTGTGGAGAGCTGAGAATGGGAGAAGAATGGAGTGTGTGAGCAGCATGGCGGCCTCCTCTCCTCTCCTCACTTCACTCTCACGGCCTACCTTTACCCGCCTGCCTGCTCGGCGCCCAGAACACCTTCCACCATGACTGCCTCAGCATGTTCCCACTTAAACAAAGTCATTAAGCATGTGTACATGTCCCTGTCTCAGGGTGAGAGAGTCCAGGCCATGTATATCTGGATCGATGTTACTGGAGAAGGACTGCGCTGCAAGACCCGGACCCGGGACAGTGAGCCCAAGTGTGTGGAAGAGTTAGTTGCCTAAGTGGAATTTCTCCTTTCTCTGTCTTGTCTTGTCTTTTTTCTTTCTTTTCTTTTCTTCTTTCTTTCTCCCTCTTTCTTTTTTTTCTTTCTTGCCTTTCTTTCTTTATTGCTTTTTTCCTTGTCTTTCTTGCTTTTCTTTTCTCTTTTCCTTTCTTTCTTTCCTTCCTTCCTTCCTTCCTTCCTTCCTTCCTTCCTTCCTTCCTTCCTTCCTTCTTTCCTTCCTCCTTCCTTCCTTCCTTTCTTTCTTCCCTCCTCTTTCTTTTCTTTTCTTTCTTTGTTTCTCTCTTTCTTTCTTTCTTTTCTTTCTGACAGAGTTTTCACTCTTGTTGCCCAGGCTAGAGTGCAATGGCACGATTTCAGCTCGCTGCAACCTCGGCCTCCCAGGTTCAAGCGATTCTCCTGCCTCAGCCTCCCAAGTAACTAGGTTACAGGTGTGTGCGACTACCCCCAACTAATTTTTTGTATTTTTACTAGAGACGGGGTTTTACTATGTTGGCCAGGCTGGTCTCCAACTCCTGACCTCAGGTGATCCACCTGCCTCAGCCTCCCAAAGTGCTGGGATTACAGGCATGAGCCACCATGCCTGGCCTGGCATTTTGATGGCTCTAGTATTTTACAGTCTGAAGGCACCAACAGTGACATGCATTTCGTGCCTGCTGCCATGTTTTGGGATACCTTCAGTAAAGACCCTACAAGCTGGTGTTCTGTGAAGTTTTCAAGTACAACCAAAAGGCTGCAGAGACCAATTTGAGGCACACCTGTAAGTGGATAATGGACATGGTGAGCAACCAGTTCCCCTGGTTTGGCATGGACCAGGAATATCCCCTCATGGGGACAGATGGGCACCCCTTTGGTTGGCCTTCCAATGGCTTCCCAGGACCCCAGGTCCATATTACTGCAGTGTGGGAGCAGACTAAGCCTATGGTATGGACATTGTGGAGGCCCATTACCAGGCCTGCTTGTATGCTGGAGTCAAGATGGCGGGGACTAATGCTGAGGTCACACCTGCCCAGTGGGAATTTCAAATCGGATGCTGTGAAGGAATCAGCATGGGAGATCATTTCTGAGTGGCCTGTTTCATTTTGCATCATGTATGTGAAGACTTTGGAGTGATAGCAACCTTTGATCCTAAGCCCATTCCTGGGAACTGGAAGGGTACAGGCTGCCATACCAACTTTAGCACCAAGGCCATGTGGGAGGAGAATAGTCTGAAGTACATTGAGGAGGCCATCGAGAAACTAAGCAAGTGTCACTAGTACCACATCCGTGCCTATGATCTCAAGGGAGGCCTGGACAAAGCCCAGCATGTAGCTGGATTCCATGAAACCTCCAACATCAACGACTTTTCTGCTGGTGTAGCCAATTGTAGGGCCAACATATGCATTCCCTGGACTGTTGGCCAGGGGAAGAAGGGTTACTTTGAAGACCGTCGCCACTCTGCCAACTGCGAACCCTTTTCGGTGACAGAAGCCCTCATCCACATGTGTCTTCCCAGTGAAACCGGCAGTGAGCTCTTCCAGTACAAAAACTAAGTGGACCAGACCTCCAGCCATTGAGCCCTTCCTAGTTCTTTATCCCACTCCAACTCTTCCCCATCTCCCAGTTGTCCCAATTGCAACTCAAAGGGTGGAATATAAAGGCCTTTTTAAATTCAAAAAATTAAAAAATAAATAAATCTTAGCTGCGAATACAACTTTATGCTGAGTCCTATGAATCTTTCTATCATATCTCTAGATATGGGATTAGTGTTGGAGATCCCTGACACACAGTTTTTACTATTAATGGTGAAAAGAGCAGAATGTTGTACTTAGCTCTGAAAGTGAATGGAGGAGAATGTGAAGTTGAGTGTTAACAGTAAATGAAGCAGAATGTGTCTGGTGTTGGTAGACAGTGGAGCAGAATGTGGTGTCTGGCAACTCGTATTGAACATAATGTTGAGTCTGGTGGAAGGTTTGATGGATCAGAAAAGTGTAGAACCTGCAAAGATCTGCAGGATCCTGCAAAGTATAGTAGATAAATAAGTAGTGAATAATTCCTTTGCTCCCCATGTTTTAGGCAGAACAAGGAAGTAGATGCTATCCTTATTTGTCCAGGTGCTCTGTGCTCTTGGGCAATGGGACTTACCTTGGGCAGAGATGCTCGAGAGCCAGAGCTCTGGGTGGTCATGGTGAGCACTGTGGTGATGCCTAGGCCCACACGAGCAGGTGCAGCATCCATGTTGATCCAGAAGGAGATCCATGAAAGGATGACAATGAGCAGACTGGGAATATACATCTGAATCAGGTAGTAACCCATCTGCCGCTCCAGGTGGAACCGGGCCTCAATGCAGGTGAATTTACCTGCAAGAAATTGCAGTGAGAAGGCAGTGTAGCCTGGTGAATAGGACAAAAAGCTCTAGGCTTAGAACAAGCTCGACTGGAGTCCTGGTTCAGTCTCATACTACCTGTGTCCTTAGACAAGTATTTGAATTGTTCTGTATATGTTTCCTCATGTGTAGTAAACTGGGGATAATAATAATAATACCTCTATCATATAGTTACTTATATGATTAATGTGAGGATACAATGAGATGATGCCTATGAAAAACTTAGCACAGTCCTCATACGTTGTAAATGTTCAGGATTGTCAATTGCCATCATCATCACCATCGTCATCATCATCATCAGTATTTTGTTGCTAAGAACGGGCCTAAGTGGCACTTTCTCTACCTTTCTGCCAGTTATCTTCCCAAAACATGACTTGATCCTGTTATTTCCTCTTCTAAAACCTTTGGTCTCCTCCTTCTTTCCTCATGCAAGGCAGTTCCCATTACCTACAGGAAAAAGTTCAAACTCTTTAGCCTGCCCTTTATAACCAAGCTCTAACCAGTCTTTCTATCCACTTCCCCATCTTTCTTCACCCTAATCATGACTCCCTACATGCCACCCCTTGCCTTGAGCATTCCCTGAACTTTCATGTTTCTGAGCTTTTGATCTTGCTTATCCCTTTGCCCAGAATGCCCTTATTCCTTCCCACAACCAGCCAAAGAAATCTTCCTTCTCCTCCATGGCAGTGTAAATGTGAAGATTCTCCCAGGCAGAATGCTGCTCTTTTTCTGTGTTCCCTGAGCCCTGTTCACATGATCATCAGAGCCTTCAAGACATAATACAGTGAGTGAGGGGGCAAGTCAGTCTCTCTCTCTGTCTTCTGCACTAGACTAGGCAGCTTGTCTCCTCCCTGTCTATGTATCCCTGGAACTGGGATGGGCCCAGTCTAATGGTGGGGCCTTAGTTCCTGTCTACTGAAGCACAATAGGGAATTTCCTGGAGTTCCCTGGACTGTAAGCTGTAGGCAGGGCCTTGTCAGTCTTTTCTTCTTGCATCCATAGGGTCTAGCACGGAGTTCAGCTCTCACTTAAATGAAAATGGTGAAGAGCAAGTGAAACGAATGAGAATATGCTATGTACATTTAGGTTGTTTCCATATCTTGGCTATTGTGAATATTACTGCAGCGAACATGGGAGTGCAGATATGCCTTTGAGATACTGGTTTTACTTTCTTTGGCTATGTATCTATGTATCTAGAAGTAGGATTGCTGGACCATGATATATTTCTCAATGGATGAATAGATAAAGAAAATGAAACATTATTCAGCCTTAAAAAAGAAGGAAATTCTGCCATTTGTGACAATGTGGATGAAGCTGGAGGACATTTTTATATTAAGTGAAATAAGCCAGACACAGAAAGACATATATTGTGTGATCTCACTTATATGTGAAATCTAAAATAGTCACACTTATAGAAGCCGAAAGTAGAATGGTGGTTGCTAGAGGCTGAGGGATGGGGGAAATTGGGAGATGTTGGTCAAAGGGTACAGAATTTCAGTTATGCAAGATGAATAAGTTCTGGGGATCTAATGTACAGCAATGTGACTAGAATTAACAGTGGTGTCCTGTGTGCTTGAAATTTGCTAAGAGGGTAGATCTCCTTTTTACTTTTTTTTTTCTTTTTCTTTTTTGAGATAGAGTCTCACTCTGTCACTCAGGCTGGAGTGCAGTGGCACGATCTCAGCTCACTGCAGCCTCCGTCTCCTGGGTTCAAGGGATCTCCTGTCTTAGCCTCCAGAGTAGTTGGGATTACAGGTATGTGCCACCACGCCCAACTAATTTTTTTTTTTTGTATTTTTAGTAGAGACAGGGTTTCACCATGCTGATCAGGCTGGTCTCAAACTCCCGGCCTCAAGTGATCCCCCTGCCTTGGCCTCCCAAAGTGCTGGGATTACAGGCATGAGCCACCATGCCTGGCTTTTTTTTTTTTTCTCTCATTTTTTGAGTTTTTTAATTTATTTTTTGTATTTTTGTCTTATCAGATTTATGATTTGCAAATATTTTCTCCCATTCTGTGGGTTCTTTATCTTCACTATCTTGATAGTGTCCTTTGATGCACTTTTAATATTTATGAAGTCAAATCTATCTATTGTTCTTTCATTATTGCTCGTGTTTTTGGTATTATATCTAAGAATCTATTGCCAAATCTAAGATTAGGAAGATTTGTCCTCATGTCTTTCTAGAAGTTTTATCATTTTAGCTTAATCTTAAATTTAGGTCTTTAAGAGGGTAGATCTTAAGTGTTCTTACTAGACACACACACACACACACACACACAATGAGAAGTATGTGAGTTGATGGATATGTTACTTAGCTTGAGTGTGGTAATTATTTCACAATGCATATGTATATCAGAACATCACGTTGCATATCTTCCATATATACAATTGTTATTGGTCAGTTATACCTTAAGAAAGCTAAAAAGAAAAAAGAAAAGAAAATGCTGCATAAAGAGTAAAAGACTTGGTATGTGAGGGTCAGTTGTGGTGATTTGACTTGGGAGTCATTGCTTTCATGGCTGCTATGGGAATGCCATTATGGCTCAAGGGATGAAGAGAGTATCTTTGGAGGTTCTGAAACATCTCTGAGGTGACTCAGAAAGAGGCAGCTGCCCAAGACAGACTGCAGCCCAGGCTGCCTGTACCTTCACCGGGCTGTCTAATTACACCAGAGCCTACGACGGTTTCTCTCAATCCCTCTCTTTCACCTCCCCCTCTTGCTGGCTTGCCATGCCTCTCTACTCTGTGCTTCTGGGTTCAGACCCCAGCTTCCTACCCATCCTTCCAGCTGCTATACCAACTGACTGACTTTCTTCTCCCATGCTTTTATGAGCTTGTTCTCAGCCTGAGACAGGACACGCAAAGCCAGTCTTGATCTGGCCCCAGTTAGTCATCCAGATATTCAATCTTCCGACAAAGGCATGGGAGACAGAGAGCTGAGCTACACCATCGTGGCTTCTCTGCTGTCTCATAGCTCACAGGCTAGTGAACTTTTTCTAGCTATTTACTAACCTTCAGTGACACCTCTCAGCTCCCTCTTGCTGAGGTCTATTGTGAGCATTCTCTCTACTTTTGCTCTATTGGAAATGCCAGTTCATCTGTGACAGAGACTACTAGGTATCTTCCCAATATCAGTTCTTCACTTCTGCCTTAGAAATAGGATCCATTCTGCTACCTGGAATAATGACTGTATTTACCAGCTTCCCTGGTAATTAGGTAGGGCCCATGCTTCAGTCACTCACTGCAGGAGTCATAGGAAGAAAATGTCAGAGCCACTTTTTTGTTTCAAAACCTATTCTTTTAACCAGTAGGTAATAGAGCTGTGCCCATCATGGGTACTTCATAAGATCTGTTGAATCAATGATTGAATGTGTTTGAAATGACCTCTGGTCCTGGTTGGGGAGTGGGATCTGAGGAGGATGGCCCTTGTACCTACCTGTGTTGTAGTGCTTGGTGCAGTATCTCAAGTCCTTCTCTTCCTTCAAGATAAACTGGGGCAGAGTTAGTCCATCTGCCACCTGCACGGCTCCCTGTTCCTGCCACTCAAAGATGAGGTCATTCATGGTATATCCAACTGGGATGGGATCAGAAGAAGGAGCAGTCACCACTCAGAAGCACTTGTTTGAAGCATGTCAAGGTTGGTTAGGGTTAGAGACTGAGAGAAACATCAGACACTTGATGGAACTTGTGAGACCAGGTTGCTTTTTATTTTCCTCTCCAAAGAGGTAAAAAACAGGTTAATTATTTGTATCTACCTCAGAGCCCTTCCACCTCTCTTCCCAACCTTCTGCATTAGCTTGTCCTGTTGTTCCCTCTCTTACTCCCATGGTGAAATGCTGTTGACATCTGCTATTTTCACCTGCACACCATCCTTGTCAGCCTCCTCTTTTGCTCACAGCAGATATTCCTCTGTGGAACAACTCTATTGCATGCTGTCTTGGTGGGACTAACCACTGGCTGGGGTAGAAGGTAGAAAGTGTGAAATGGTGACTCAAGCTAGGCCAGACTGTGCCCCAGCACTTCAGCAACTATTGAGTGAAGTAACAGGAGGTTCAGAATTGGTTTGTGCTGATTCCCTTCACAGGTAGAACTCCAAGAAAATGGTCGATTAGTTCCTGTTGTCTAAGTGCTCTGCCTTGGTTTCTGTATTTTTAAGTTAGTCAGATTGGTTTCTCTGTTTGCAATCACAGGAGTCAGCTTTCCAATCTGTTAAAATCCCGGCCCTCCATAAAGTCTACTCCAATACCCTCTCTCTTTCTCCATCAGAAGGAAGCACTCTTTCTGCCATGAGGCCACAGTGCTTTGTACTTCTAACAACACAACAATCACTTGCCACTCTTTATTAGAGTTATTTGTGCAGTCAGTTGTTACTTCCCCTGCTGGAGTGAACATCTCGTGGGTTCAAAGACCATGACTCATTCAAGTCATTTCTCCTCCATTCACATTAACCATAGACATGGGACAATGACCCTTTGGAGAACGCTGCTGGCTCCAAAACGTGGTCCTCAGGCAATGTAAGGGGAGTTATATTTCTAATGCATTTTCTAAAAGCAAAGTCCTTCATGGAATATTTTGGGTTATTACAGTAATCTCCTGGGCTCTAGTGGTTAGGAGCAGCTGTGTGGGAATTTCTGCCTGTCCCATGGGTAAAAAAGGGAGCCTGGTTCTTTCTAGAGGACTCATGCAAGAGACTCACAGCTTTCCAGTTGCATGATACATGTCTGGACATCCATGGGGAAATTCTTCAAGTCCATGGGGCAGGCCAGTGTCAGGGTGATTCTGGGAAGAGAAGAGAGTTGAATGATGCAGGATCCACACATCAGGGAGGCTGTGCCTCTATTGTAGTTATTGTTAGAAAATCAGTTGTCCAGGGTAGGGAAAGAAGGTCAGGGAACTTGTGTTTGTTTGTTTGTTTATTTATTTTTGAGAGGTGAGATCTCCCTTTGTGGCCCAGGCTGGAGTGCAATGGTGCAATAATGGCTCACTGCAGCCTCAACTTTCTAGGCTCAAGCAATTCTCCTGCCTCAGCCTCTAGAGTAGATGCGACCATAGGCACGTGCCACCACGCCTGCTAATTTTTAAAAATTATTTTGTAGATACAGGGGTCTCACCACGTTACCCAGGCTAGTCTCGAACTCCCAGGCTCAAGCAATCCTCCCACATCAGACTCCAAAAGTGCTGGGAATACAGGCGTGAGCCACTGTTCCCAGCCGTGACAAGATTTATATATATAGAAAGCCCTGAAAATTACACACACACACACATACAAACTGTTAATGCACATAATGGAATTTAGCAAAACTGAAGGATAAAAAATCCACCAGGAGTTCTGGCAAGAAGCGCGGTGGGAAGCAGAGTGCAGCCAGATGCTTTGGGGACCTGCAGGCCCTCTGACCTTGGAGGTGCAGATGAGCTGGGGGCTCCAGCCTGGCGGCAGGCTCTGTTCTCCAGGCTCCCACAGCCCTTGCTGTGGCTCCCACCAGCTGGGCCCAGGCCTGAAGTAGTGACAAACCTCTTTTCCCACCCCACCTCAGGGACCTGGTGGCCATCTGGTCTTCCAGCCAACTTTGCCCAGCCTAGACAAAGCTCCCGATGGCTACTGGGATGCAGCACCTTTGGGTGGTGGCGAGTGTGGACAACTTGTGTGTATTAAATAAGTATGTGTGTATTTCCAAGTTCCTGATTGAAAAATGGAGGCTTAGAGAGGTAAAAGTAGGTTGCCTAAAGTGACACAGAGTCAGGGAACTTCTGGGTTTCTTTGGAGTCTATCTGGCCTCTGGAGACTTGTCTTTAGCAAGTTGCCTGGAGACCAGGGGCTGCTCCCGTTCCATACTCTTCTGCATAGCCCTCAGGTAGGAACAGAACTCAAATTTTAAGTTGAGCAGCACCTATGTGCACCTGCAGCAGATGTTGCAAGTGGTTCTTGGCTACCTTCTTCACACACAGGGCTCATCAAAGGTTATTTCAAAGAGGCCGTCTGCCTTCTGGGTGTCCAAACACAGTTGACTCACATCAGTAGGCTCATGCTAGGGGTCGACCGGAAAGGGGTGGGCTCCTAAGGATTCTGGGCTAGCTATTTATTTTGGTTGTTCAACCCTTACAGAGGCCACAGACTCAGAACCAGAGGGAGTCCCCTTAACAGAATTCGAGGCCTGCAGCTCAAGCTGGGATACAAGACTCCAGCTTGAAAGGCTTTTCCAACATCTGAGTGCCTGCTGCAGGGGACGGAGAAGAAAGGCTTTCAGAGCCCAAAAAGCCTTAGATCATCAAGCCAACTCCCTCATGTGACAGGTGAGAAACCCAGGGTACAGAAAGGGATAGGCTGAGAGTCATCTAAGGTCACACAGCAAGCTGATACATCAGCCAGGATTCAAAACCATGTGTCCTGGCCTTTGGATTCTGAGTCCCAGGGTGAGGTTGACTTATGTGTTTGCTGGCAGCACTGCTCTCCTGAAAAGCCAACCCCAATACCCTAAGACACATAATTGGTGGTGTTCTAGTGGAACTGAACTGGCACTTTGGCTGCATGTGATGAGGTACACAGCACTTTGTGAACTTCCTTCCTCCAGCTCACACCCACAGCTCTGGATCTGGGCCCCTTTAAGCATAAGGTTAAAGCAAAAGGGGAAAAATGGAAGGGAGAGGGAGAGGAAGAAGAGGGAAAAGAAGGGAGTGGAAGGAGGGAGACAGTGAAGAGAAAGTGAATGCAGTTGAATTTCTGCAGATAAAAGCTCCAAAGTGGGGCAGCTGTCACATTGGGTTAATTTCCTGAAGTCGAATGACCTTGGAAACATCACTTTCTGCTGATTTGTCCTTCTATCATGCTGTACCAGGACTTAGCTTCCTAGACATAGGAAACTAGCTTGGCAGCAGCAAAATCCAAGCAGGCTGACCTTACCATCCCCCTAGCCAGCCGGGCCTGGGTGGCCATTTCCTAAGCCTGTCACTCCTCTAGTCTGGATGTTTACTTGGGGGGATGGGAAAGTGGGCTCCTGAGCAAGGAAGGCCACATGAGCAGCGAGTTCCTCCAAGCCTTCTCTTGATGGTGAGGTTCCTAAGCTCCCTCCCCTACCCAGCCTGCTCTTGGGAGAGACAGAGTTCAGTCAAACCTGAGGGTTAGGATCTGTACAGCCTCTCCCACAGGCTGGGAAAGTTAAGACTCATCACCCAAAGGAAACAAAATGTGTTTCCCTGAAGGACTGGAGCAGGAGGGGGAGACATTTAGGGCCAGCGCCCTTTTAAGTTCTTTGAAATAAGAACATATTCATATATTGATCAAATATTTGAGTGCCTATTGAATGCCATGCACTGCTGTAGGACTTTGAGAGGGCATCAGATTCACACTAATACAGATTAGAATCTAGGCTCTGCTACTGACAAACTGGAAACTTTGACAGGTTACTTAAATTTTTCTGATTCTCATTTGTCTAATCTGCAAAATGGGCATAGTAAAACCTGCCTCATGGGGTTATTAAGAGGGCTAGATATAACACATGAAAAGTACCCAGCGTAGTTAGTGAATTCTCATGAATGGTAGCTATTATTATTACATGTGTAAGGTATTTTTTCACCTCTTTGACATTGGTCATTTTCCTTATGCCTTAGGAGAGGAGATCAGGACTTGGTGCGGAGGGGTGGCAGCAGACTCTGAAGGCTTTGCCCCTAACCAGTATCTCAAGGATACTCCACATCTGGAGAAGGAAATCTAAACTCCTAGACCCAATGCAAAGTTTGGGGGATAGATTTTGTAGAAGGGATGGAGTAGCCCTGGCCTTGACCGTGAGCAACACCATCCACCTGGCAGGCTCATTTACTTTGAAGTTGCTGTGATTTTCTAGGCTTAGCTCTTGCTATTGGTAATCATGCTTGGATACTCTTTCCTATCTTGTTTGATTGAAATGCTGGGTAACTTAAACCCCACCTTCTCTAGGATGCCTTTCTTGGTCTCCTTGGTTATAATAAATCATTGGCTCCTAGAGTAAAATACCCCATTGTATTTTATTATTACTTGCTAAGTATAAGTTACAGAGCTGGGTCTGCCTATTCTGCAAAGGTGTTGGGTTACCAGGGCCTGTTCACCTCTGTTTAGGCCCCTCTTTTAGGGTCTGTGCCCAGAAGGTAGTCGGGTAAGGCACATTCTGAGGAGGGAGTGGGTGAACTTGGTCAGAACTCACCTGATGCTGTAGAGGACGTTCCCATTCCGGGAGATCCTTAGCAATTTGTTGTCTGTGGTGATCTCATGGAAGTGGGCCCCCTTCTCGTTGGCAAAGAACAGGTCAGGTTTCCAGATGGAGTCCAGCATGGATGGGTCCAGGTCCAGAGAGTCGTCAGGGTATTCGTTATAGGCCAGGCGGGGGTCGTTCCATTGCTGACGCAGGAAGATGTTGACCCTATAGTCCTACAGCCAGGAAACAACAAGGTGAAGGCAGTGTTAGGCCCAAGGACATCAACTTTTGGAGGACCTGGGTATTTCTGGTTAGTAAAACCTTTTCTGGAGGATGTTATTAAGTGTGGTTGCATCTTATATGGGAGTGAGACATAAAAGGTGTGTATCAGGCAAAAACCATGGGAGTCATAATTACCCCTGAAAATCCTCTAAATTCCCCATGAGGTATATTTGACCCTGAACTGAGATTATGTAAATGTTATTCTTTATTTTGAAAAAAATAAAACTAAAGAAAAGTTCAAAGACGGGTGTAATAAACACTTGTTTTCATCATCCTGTCAATATTTTTTCATGTTTGCTTCATTTTTTTTAAATAAGAGAAAAAATACATTGCATATAAATTGAAGTCCCCCTTTCCCCCTCAACCCCAATAGCACAGTACTTCTTAGGCACACCAAGATTTGAGAGTCACTGGTCTAGACAAATTGAAGGAATGAAAGGATATAATCAAAGCTGATGTCTGAGCATTCAAACTATTCTGCCTAAAAAGAATAATTAATTCTCAAGAAGTGAAGGAGGGATGGGCAGAAGAATTCTGTATTGTTCCTGCTGGTCCTAGGGTTCATCCCATTCTGTTTTAATCCCAGCCTTCTATAACTTACTGTGACATATGTTGATTTGTTTGGAAAGGTTTAATAGATGTCATGGAGTCACATCTTACTAGCTTCTAAACTCAGTGCTTAGTTAATATTTCTCTGATGGGACTGCAGTGTAGTTATTCCACTGAAAGGAAATTCATGAGTCAAATCAATTAGGGAAATGTTAGACCAGATGAAATACAACAGGTTTCTTTATTGCAGGACTTCTCAGAGACCTTAATATGCTGATGAGTTGTGTGCATCTCAAGAAGGGAATAGAATATGATTTATTTTGGCCATGGAATTCTTATGTTTGTGCATGATGAGTATCTTCTATAGAATATAGGTTAGGAATGGCTGTCCTAGTCAAAACTCCATCCCCACCTCCCACCTTTTTTTTTTTTCCAGATGAAGAAACTAAAGTCCAGGGAGAATTGAGACTGGCTCATTGTCACTCTGAAAATGTAGGTCCAGAGCTGATTCTAGAACCCAAGTATTCTGACTCCTAGCTGAGAATTTGCTCAATTGCCTCAGCTGTTCCTAGAGGAAGTGAAAGAGTCCATTCAGTTTATATTTACAATGTGAGGAGCTGTTATGGTATGGGTAGATCTCAATAGCAGAAAACTGGGTCATGCAGTTAAGAAATATTTCCATTAAGAAAGTTTTCAGTCAGGAGCGATGGCTTATGCCTGTAATCCCAGCACTTTGGGAGGCCAAGTTGGGAGGATTGCTTGAGCCCAGGAGTTTGAGACCAGCCTGGCCAACATGATGAGACCTTGTTTCTACCAGAAAATACAAAAGGTAGCCGGGTGTGGTGGTGCATGTGATGGCCTATACAGTAGCCTGTAGTCCCAGTTACTCAGGAGGCTGAGGTCAGAGGATCACCTGAACCCAGGGAGGTCCAGGCTGCAGTGAACCATGATCATGCCACTGCACTCCAGCCTGGGTGACAGAGTGAGACCCTGTCTCAAACAAACAAACAAACAAAACAGAAAAAGAAAGTTTTAAATTTTGTTACAGAGACATTGTAAACCTGGAGTTCATGAATAGCATGACACTACAAGTAGAGTTTAGGGTATATTTGTGTTTCCCAAGCAGGAAGGGCATAGCTCTCTGTGTTGAATCTCCCACAAGGGTCTATAGTTCCCCAAATGATTAATATCCTCAGTTCAAGTCCAGCTTTAAATGCTTTCCTCCAAGGAATAATCTCCACACATGAGGACCTGCTATTGCTTTTTCCCTGAGGGTGCTGGATAAACGAGGTCATGCAATATTTTCTTTTGTAATGCTGCTTGTAAATCCTCATCAGTCTTGATCTGTTATCAGCAGAGATAAACTAAAACAAACAAGCTTCCTCCCCACCCTCACCCTCACCCCCGCTCAATTCCTCCTACCGTGCATGCCTTGGTCTGTTGGCCTATAGAAATATCAATAGCTTCATAAAATGTTCTAAGGTATTTTATAGGATTTTTCTATAATTTAATTGCGGCCTCTCTCTCCAGCCCCATAGAAAGTGACATTTGGCCTCATAATCTCATATCTTATAAGTCCCATGGTGGTGGGAGAACTCCAGGCCCAGCCTGAGTGTTGGCTCTTTGTCCTGCTGATGGTAATGGACAGCTCCCAATCTGGTCCCATCTGATCAGGGGATTGGAAATAGTCTCTCCTTCTCCTTCTCCCTTGGATTTTGCATGAAGTGTGTGTGTGTGTGTGTGTGTGTGTGTGTGTGTGTGTATGTGTGTTATGATGAGGCACTGGGCAAGTCACATCAGAGTGAACAGTCTATGAATGGTTGGGCAGAAAAAGCCTTCAGTCCCCAGGCCCCAGCTGTACTCTTGATGTTCTTGCCAGTGACATGTCAAGTCCATTTATGTGGCTATCAGGAAGAAAAGAAAGTGGCATTTCTTAAAATGGTCTGTTAGGCAGCAGGCGCCGTTCTAGATACTGTCACATACATTTAATCCTCACAAAACCCCTGCAAGCTAGACATTCAGATTCCCATAGTAAGGGTAAGAAAACAGGTCTGAGAAATGTGTCCAAGGCACAGGGCCAGTGAGTGGCAGAGCTAGGACTGGAATCAGCATCAGCCTGAGTCTCTAGTGAGCACTTGTGATTTACGTCACATGGTGTGGACAGCCAATCCTGTGTGAGGGACGCTCTCTGTCAGCCTCATTGCTCAGGCAAATTCTGCTTTCTCAGCTTAAGGCTTATCTCCTGCAGGAGCCTTGATGCCCCAGGCTTCCCTGACCTCTTCCTTTTTGATTCCTAGCAAGACCGAATCACCTGGAACATTTAATTGAGCACTTCTTCACTGTGTATGTCTTATGTCCTCAACTTGATTGGGAGCAATTTGAGCGGATGAACCGGACCTTATATTTTCCTGCACCATCTCACCTAGTCACCCAGTCAGTGTATCTATGAGCTACCTAGTACCTATGGGAAGGAAGAGGAGACAAAGTCAGAAAAAGCTGGAACAGAATGTGCTTTTCTTATTTTATATCTGGAAAGACTGAGACCCAGAGGGGAAAGGTATTTCCTAAGATTGCACAACAATTCAGTAAAGAATCTGGAATTAGAACTTGACTCTGCTTCTCTGAGCCTCACTGTTAAAAGAAGTTAGCCTAGATGGTCTCTAAGAACTTTTCCAAATCTAACAGCTAATTGTGGTTAGTTTTATTTTTTCCAACAACATTTAACTGAACTCTCTTAAGTGCCAGATATTATTCTAGGCACTGAGGAATCCACTGAGGACAAGAAAGATATATTTATTCAACTCCAGAGCCTCCCGTGTAACGTTTACACCACACTGAGATAAGGGCTGTGATAGGGGTTAAGCGCAGGGTGCTGGGGAATATAGAAGACAGGTTCCCACCTGGACTTCGGGGTGCTGATCAAGGAAGTCTCCAGGTAGAAGTGATATTTAAGGTGAGACCAAATACGGTTGAGTCAAAGAGGAAAAGCATTTTTGGGCAGCTGGAAGTGCATATGTGAAGGCCTAGAGGCAAAGCAAGAGTGGGGCACTTTGGAAAGAACAGCAAGTGAATGAATAGAAGAGTGGGAGGACGCATGCACGGTCTTGCAAGCTGTACTGAGAAATTTGAACTTTTTCCTGATAATAATGTGGAGAGTTTGAAGAATTTTAAGTAAAGATGAACATTATTACATTTGCATTTTATTACTAATATTTTAAAATGTTTTAACTGTTATTTCAGAAGCAATGCAAGTTGACAGTTAAAAAATATAAACGTACATCATCTAAAAGAAGAAAAACAAAATAAAATGCATCTCTTTGTATTTCATAATGAGCCTCTCATTATGAAATGACTAATGAAAAGTTTGAGCAGGAGACGGAGAACGTATCTTGGTGTCCTCAGGCAGCTTGACTCCTCCTGGCAGCGCCTGCCCTAGCAGCTGCTACCCAAACAAGTTGCTGCCATTGATTTCCTCCCTTAAATTGGCAAACAGCAGTGAGAAATGCAGTTCAGAAAAGATCAATGTAAGTGGTGTAATAGGCCGAAAGCTAAAGGCTGTTTTGCTTATTTGGCCATAGTTATACATATGTGGGTTGGTGTTCGACATGCTGGGGGCCATGTTCAAGTTCAGGGACTGGAGGAGCAGCAATTGAATTCTCCATCCTAGAACCTGAGGTTCCACCTCTGGGAGCTGGTTTCTAGGTCTTAAACTCTCAAGGGTAGCCCACAAACCTGAAGAAGAAGGGGTTTCCAGAGCTCTGGTTCAACAGTGTTCAGCATCAACTCACCCATCCTGCCTCTCTGATTCCTTGATGATCTAATTTCTGGTAACTGGGCAACTAGCTGCCCTGCTTATGAGACTAAGGTAGAGCATTAACTCATTAATTTATTCATTCATTCATTCCACAGACATTTATTGAGGGCTTCCTATGTACCACCTGAAGTTGGATCTGTCCCCGACCTCTACCCACACTGTGCCTCATTTCAGATTCTAACCTCTCCTAATAAACTCCTCTAAACTCAGTATGGTGGTGAAGTAGGAAACATGAAGTGTTTTAGTAGGATAGAGCTAAGAGCTTGTGCAAGAGTGTTGCTGGCAAGGGCATGTGGAATGCAAGAGGTGGGCCCATTGCAGTCAGAACCAAGAGACATTGCATCAAGAGGTAAACAAAAGAACCAGATCCTTATACCTTTTAACGTCTCATCATTCCAGTTCCCAAGGGGATATCTCATCTCTAAACTCAATCCAACTCTATTAATATTTATGAGGCTGATTGGGAGTACAGTGAGGATGGAGGCACAGGGTCTTCATTTCTATACTTAAAGAACTCAGTTTATCTAGCAAGCAAGATAAGGCATGGACACAAATATCTACCACACAAAATTGAAAGTGAGAGGGTCA